TAATTCTCAGTCTGTAAGATGCGGAAGTCAAGTAATTCAAGACAGTATCTGTGGGTCACAAAAATTGTATGTTTTATCTATGTAAATTCTGTAATGGAAGGAGATTTTTTGGCGTTGATAACCATGTAGTTTATCAGGCCAAAAGCAAGTGATGAGTAAGAACTATTGCTACAGTAGCATTATATATATATATAATACAGTACCATTATATATATATATATATATATATATATATAAATGTAGTCACATTAAAAATAAAAACTTGTGAATGTAGAGAATCATTTTATTTTTAATTGGTATTGATAAGTAAGTATAACTATTCTATTGGACTATTAAAATGCATACTGTAGATGAAAAAAGAATAAGGCTCTTGAAAAATTCTTGCTTTTCTATGTTTGATACTAAAAATCATTGTCCAACAATGCATTCCATTTTTCCTCTCCTCTACTTTTTTCTATACTTACTGCTTCTCAATTGTGGCACAGGATGTTCTCAGGAGTTAAGCTGAAGCAGATAAATATGGATTTTCTTTGCAGTTTGCACAAAGATCAGCCTTAGGCATGTTGTAAATGATTAGTGAATAGATGATCTGGTAGTATAACAAACAATTTGATTTATGTGTCTTTTTTTTCCAGAGTGTCATTCATAAAGTTTGAGAATAAAAACTTCAATACATAGCAAAAAGACAGAAATATTTCCTTAAAATAATGCTTACAATGGAATCTATGGAATTTCATACAGTTTGAACTGTTAAAATATCAGTTAGATCTTTATAATACTATCTCTACAATACATAGCTAAACAAATCAGAGTTGGGAAAAACACTGTTTTTCCTCCTTTTAAATAAGTAATCCAATCTGACAGTATTGTAATGATGTGCTCAAAAGATGTACCCCTTCCAATCACAATTAAAAAAAATACTACTGAGCACAGTACAGCAAAAGACTTCTCAGTTCATTCTTTGGAGCTTCTCAGTACTGCTTAAAATGAAAAGATAATGTTAGAGGTTTTATGGGGGATGGATGGGAAAGAAGTGTGGGTTTAACACAGACGTGCCAGGGATTTCTCCCCACAATCTTCAGTGATAAGAGTGAGCTGAATGCAGTAGGAGATTGGCCAGGACCAGGAGGTCGCGCCACATAGGAAAGCCATGCTGGGCAAGCCATGCCCTCCCAGGAAATCCCCGATGAAATGCTGCAGCAATGCACAGAAGAGTACATTTTGACATTTTCAACTTGATCTTGGATTGATTAATCTGTTTCAGGAAAGGATGTAGCTACAGAGACAGGAGCTTAGTCCAGTTATAGTCAAATGTCCTCTATAAGCATAATCATTTATCTTGCGTTCTGTTGCCATAGGGAAAAAAGTATTTTATATGCAACATACAGCCTCACGTTTCTGTTGTGGTACTATGGTTGAGGAGTCCTCAGCTAGAACAGGCACAACAACTGTCATCAATGATCCTTTCTGATTTAAAAGAATATTCAGAAGACAATGAATATCACCCCCATCTATACTACGAATTGCACATGCTCACTGAATGGCATGCACAAGAATTCTCTCTCCTTCCAAATGTGATGCTACAAAAATGATAACTTGCTTCCAATATAGGATTTCTGTAATTATTATTATTAATGTTATTATTAAAAATAAATATTTATTTACAGTTATTTTTCACTTCTACATAACTTTGAAATACAATAAATATTCTTAAGAAACCTGCATTTAACTCCTATGGATGCTAAGAAGAGGTCCTCAGTATTAAAATGTTAACAGACTTGTATTTCAAATGTCAAGTTATTACCATACTTTGGGCAATACTAAAAAAAGAGTTTCCATTCTCAGTTCTTTTTTACTGGCAACATGTACCTTGCTAATTTGAAGTACGTCTTTCAGATATATGTCTATACATACAGTAAAAGTCCTCATTTCTGTATTTGTTGCAAATCTAGGCATATTTTTCCACTGTCTTTTCCATGTTTTTAGTCAGACATTTTTTGCAAGTCCCATTCTAGGGCCTACATAATTCCGAATGCTTATAAAAGGAGTTGTAGAGTCCTAAAAATCTGTCTTGAAAATAAACAGTTCAAAATCACTACATGTGATATATATGTTTCACTTTTAACAGTATATTTATAATTACAGAACTCTGGAATTTTGATGGCAAAAAAGCATTTAATAAGATAACAATATTCCACTTGCGCATGTTAAGATGATCTGCTGTTGCTGTTTCAAACCAAAACCAGTAAAAGCCAGTCACTCAAATTGGAATTTTCAGTATAATTGGTAATACGGACGTTTCCTGGAAGAAAACAGAACCAAACAACTAACATATCTTCTTGACCTTCACCTGACCTCTGGTCTCTGAAGACTAAGCGTTCTTGGTAGCCATGTGTTTAGAGTTTATCCCTTCTATTAGATACACCATTCAAATTGATATTAGCACAGAGGTCTCTAAGGAATCATTATTTGGAGAAAAGACCTGAGAGTTTTAAAACCACTTTTCAAAGAAATTTTATTCTACAATGAAATAGAAATAATGGAAGAAAATTGTTCTTAATAGCACTGAAAAATAATGCACCAAATTCATCTGCACAAAGTTCTTCAGTTTGTCCAAATCAGACTTTGGGGTTAGAATCCAGTAAATCACTACTGTCTTGAGAATTATAGAGGTACAAATGATAAACAATACCTAAGTTACTGAGTGAAGTAGAGGTTATTCTTCTAATGAGTTGAGAATTTTTGTCTATTTCACTGATCAGCTTTCTAGTTAAAACAAACCAAAGAAAAGTGAACTGGAGAGGAAAATAACTATGAGGAAGAAAGATGGTATAAAAATTATATTTGTAGCTCTAGTTAATTAAACCATAACACCACACACAAATAGAAAAAAAAGGTATTCCTTAAGACATCTGTTAGTTTATGGCAAATTATTATTGCTGTTATTATTATTATTGCAATTATAGTACCACAATAAAATGTAGCTAAAATTTCACTCAGCATTTTGTAGAATAATAAACTATTGCATTTGTTCTCACTTTAAAGGGAAAGGGAAGAACTGACTCTTTCTGAAACAGCTGAAATAGAAATCTTTTCAATTAATATTATTTATATCAGAAATTTCCCAACTTTGACTTGTCCCAGCTGACTGCATCAGCATATTTCATTCAATTGCCATCTGTGTTCTTAGTGCTGAAATAGTTTCAGATGAATGTGCAAACAGTCCAAAGTCCTGTCTACAGATAATACTCCTAATTAGCCATTCCCAGGGGTCAATGTGCGAAAAGGCACCAGTTTAACACTGTTAAAATGATTTCGAAAGAGTCCCCAACATCTTTACCAAAGGAATCAATCAAAAATTCTTCAGAAGAAAATGTAATTGCTTTCAAGGATTAAAATTTTAATCAGGAGTATTCAATTAGCAGTTAATATTGAGATCCACAGTCTAGATTTGTATGCAAATGTACCATTCTTATACAGTCTTGAAGATAAAGGCAGTTCATAGCAAATGCAGTTCTGTCTCTCAGCTCATCAAGTCAGCGATAATTTACTTTGAAGAATATTTTACACTTGCTGCATTTGGGTGTGGAAATCAGTTCACTTTTGCCCCTTCTTCTGTAATTAATCTTCTTTACATTACTTATGTGTAGCAGCTCATAAAATTTTCATCCCTGTGCATCTGGTGACTTTAAAGATACCAGACCAGCATAAGATAAATAATATATATTAACTGTATAGCCAGAACTGAACTTTGTAATTCATATTTATTTATTCAAGAGCAACAATTGTGGAGTTAAAGAACCAGAAAAGAAAACCTACATGGTTTCTAAAATTCAGATCTGAAGAACTACTGATTAAAAATGTCAGCGCCTTCTTTAAAAAACCCTTCCCATAAAATGTTACATGTGCTGGGAGCAGAGACCAAGTTGCAATAGATGTAAAAATGTTATATTGATTATTCTAGAATTATGTCTCTTTACCGAAATCTAGCTTTAGTTCTATGAAGTAGAATTTTGAACTCACAGTTAGAGATAAATTTAATTACTGTGTATTTTTAAATTGTAAAATATTGCATTTATATTTGCTCATTTTGGACTTGACGAATATCAAAAATCTATTCATTAAAAACTTCCCATAGGGCATAGAAATGTATTAAAATGGTTTCTATAAAGTTATTTTATTTTCTGATATATATCATAGAATGTTCTATTTTATCCTCAGAGTGTAGTCAGTACATACCAGACACTCTGAGAAATAGTTCAATAATTTAATTTCACCTTGAAAACTGCAGGTAGTGTCTGTTGTAAGTGGCACAATCTATTCTTATGTAGAATCTAACATGAATAGCATTATTCAGAGTTCTGAACATGTGAAAACTTCAATGACATTGATAAGTTTTAAATCTGACCCTCCAAAGTTGTCTAAATTATGTCAATATTTTTTATGTTTTAATGCTCTGATTTTTATTTGAAAATATGTCATGAGTATATAACCAAGTTCTTCATGCAGATGAAGATACTACTCTAAACAGATACTACTCTAAAGTCAAAAAGAAACAAGCAGACAAGAGATGTCCCTAACCATTACTTAAATTAAATCTCTAATTAATTAAATATCAAAAACTTAATATAGTGATAGACATTTTGATCATTAGGAATTTTGCTAGGAATGTAAATACTTAAAAGCGCTAAGGTTGATTATACACGTAGCTAATTCACTCATGGGTTATATTTTTGTAAATCTAATACAACAACAATCAAGTGTTGTCAGTGCTTTAGATCTTTTTCACTGGACTGATTGTTGGTGACATTTTTGGTAATGTTTTTGTATCTAATTTTGGAAAAGGCCAGATCAATTAATTTCTGCTCTGATTTCTTAACTGCCACATGAAGATTGTGTATATGTATATCAATAGACATTTATGAGTGAACGTGCATCTGAGTCTTCAGTACTAGAAACTGAATAGAAATACTACTTCTGTTATAGCCAATTGCTGAAGTGAGCTCTTAAGAGCAAAAAAACTGAGGAAGAACACAGGATGAGGAGAGAAGAGGAGAGGAGATAATACAATTTACTAAGATGGAGAAAAAGGATGCTCATGACAAATATTTATAAATATATGTATATAACTAGTAATGCGCAAGTAACTGCTCACCACCTCCTGACTCATGGCAGCTAGCCCACTGAGCAGTAGAAGAGGAAGAAATGAACTCCCACCCTCTTCAGAACTTCTGCACAATAAGGTATGGAATATCCTGTTGGCCAGTTTTAGTCAACTGTCCTAATTCTGTTCCCTCCCACCTACTTGGACCCTTCACTGAGAAAAGCCTTGGCTCTGTACAACTTTGCTTAGCGGCAACTATAAACATCATTGTATTATCAACATTGTTTTTCTCCTAGAACCAAAAGAGAGCATCATGCCAGACAGTCTGAAGAGAACAATTCTGTACCAGCTGAAACTAAGATAGATAGAATCATCTGGAAGAGATCTTCAAAGATCTTCCAGTGCAACTAACCACTTCAGGGCTAACTTTAAGTTATAGCTTATTACTAAGATACTTGTGTATGTGTCTCTTGAACACTGACAGTATGGGACATCAACTGCCTGCAAAAAAGCCTGTTCAGATGTTTGACAACACTCATGGTAAAAATACTTTTTCCTAATATCTAGTCTGAACATCCCTGAAGCAGCTTTGTGTTATTCTCACTCATTCTATGACTGTCTATTACAGAGAAGAAACTGGCACCTCCCTCTCCATTTCTCCTCAAGAAGTTGCAGAGCAATGAGATTACCTCTTAGCCTCCTTTCCTCAAGTAGACAAATCAATTGTCCTCAGCTTCACTTTATAAGAGAAGCCTTCCAGCCTTTTTATCAGGTTTGTTGTATTCTCTGGACACTTTTGAGTATATATTAACATCCTTATATTATGAGCCTAGAACCGCACTCAGTATTCAAGGCAAGAACATATCAACACTATACAGATAATCACCTCTTTTGATCATCTTTCTATTCTGTGTTTAACGTACCCCCAAATTCATTTTTCCCTCTTGACTTCTGGGGCACACTGCAGACCCATTTTGAGCCTGCTGTCACAAGCACTCTCAGGTCCCTTTCTGCTGAACCACCTGTCTCCCAGTCTGTGCCTGTGTCCAAAATGATTTCATCACAGATGACTATGTTGAAAAAAATTGACTTTCAGCTGAGAATTTGTTCTATCAAACAATGTTATAGTTCTCTTTGTACCTGTAATAATTTCAATAAAAATAAGTAGGAGGCATTACTTTCAGAGCAACCTATGTTTTTTTTCAGATATTCAACTCAAGTTAGAGTTGCTTTTTATTGGATATTTTAATAAAGGAATATTTAATAAAGGAATAAGCTACTTAAGGAATCAATGTGTTTATAAAGTAATAAAAAACATAAACAAAACAATTCAAAACACAACCAAAAAAGCAACAGTGACTCTTCTTAGTTAACAGATATTCATTCCTCCCTCTTCCTTCCCAATCCAACCCTTCCAAAGTATGAGAGATAAAGCTTATTTTTCTGCACAGGTACAGAATCCGTGTGGTGATTGTTCCAATACTTTTTAGAAATTTCTGGAGTACAGAAAAACTATGCTTCTCAGGAAGGCCATAAAAACACCTTTATTTGAAGAACCAAATGAAGGAAACAAAAATTGGAGAAAGAATGAATAAAGAAAGCAAGCAAAGTAAGAATCTTGGTGTCAGCTTCTGTTGATCTTCAGCAGGCTGCTTCATGTTTTTTGCCATTATCTGAAGCAAAGTGCTAGCCTTTCGCTTATCCTCATTCACATAAAGTTCTTATATTTGACAAATGACCTACAAGTGATTTACATACATATTTCACATCTTCACATATTTTGAGGAATTCGTCAGTCCTAGAGACTAAAAAATTTCTTTGCAAAGGAATATCAAAATGTGACAATAAAAAAAGAAAATGCTGTAATCTTTTCTATATTGTGTTTATATAAATATATATTTATAATTTCCCAAACTATTTTAGAGAGATAATCTTCAGTGTTCCAGTAGTATAAATTTGAAGGGAATAGTTGTATACTGTTCCATTGAAATGCAGAATGTTTAGGCATGAGGATACTCTGTCCAGTTTCAGTATTTTATCTAATTATCCATGTCCTGACCTGCCTTCCTCAAATTTTTATTACTGCAAGACATAACTTGTTGTCTTACTTACAACAACCGACCTTGCAAGGGGGAGAAATTTTAAAGCTACCTGGATCTCCTGCAACATCTGAAGACACCCTGTGTTTGGTGACAGGTGTAGTTGCTGAGTGGATGCCAAGCCTGATCCAGGCTGCTTTGCCTTTAGCAAGCCATCAGCTGTAAATGGGAATCAATGGATTCCAATTCCTACTTATTTTCTTGTCTTGTTTCTCATTCATAGTGTATCTTGATGAAAACATTTCTTAAAACACTTGTAATTATCAGGATATGTCTGTGTTAAGATCACTGTCTTACAGAGAAGGAAAGACAGTTTTCTTTATGAACTCTTTTGTTCTTTTTCTTGCACTTTTCCTGTACTCTTCAGCAAAGCAAAATTGCAGTGCATGAACGTTCATTTACTGAACCTAATTGTAAAAAACTACACCAATTAAGCACAATAAAGCCAAGATATGTAAGGTCCTCAAACAAACTTGTACTGGTAATGCAAAGAAATTTGAGAAATTTTAGTATCCTTATTAGCACCACATTATGCTAATATAATATTGCTAATAATAATATGCTAATAATATATATCAAACAGACTTTGAATAGATTTTCAGAAGAAAAAAAAAAAAGAAAAAAAAAATCAGTGTTTAGGGTACGTCTCTATAATAGGATTTTTCCCAGTTTAAGAAATTAAGAAGAAATTTAATGTTAAGGATGTTTTTTCAAACATGTTGAGACAAGTGTTTTTTTATTTTCACCTACCAAGCATATAAGTTTCTTAGCATCTACAAGCTAAATTGCTGGATGCAACCTCTTTATGAGATGCAGTGATACAATTTCCACCAGAAATGGTGCCCAGTACTTAATTATGAGTCATCATCTATGAATAATATATTCTAAGATAAATAAGTAAAGAAATTAATTTGGCCTATTTGGAGGGTGTCAGTGAGATTGAGCCATTTCTTTTTCTACAAACCAACAGCTGACAAAATGGAGATTTAAAAATGACTATTTGCAGGTGCTGGGGACACAAGTTTTTAAAGAACTGTATTTTCTCAATGTTTTTTTTTTCCATCAGAAATTTAGTAACTGTAGAACTTCCGTATTTATTCTTTTGAAGGCACTAAAATGATGTGTTTGTCTACAGCTAAAAACCATAATTAGCTTAAGATACAGAATGCCCCAAATAAATGAAGAATAGGTTATTCAGAAGCACAGTTTGTACTGCCAGTATTTTGTTAAATATTTGCATCATTTGTGAGTTACAGAAACCTTTTATAATTATGGCCTAAGGTATTATAGAAAAAGTTATTTAAGTAATTCCCTTAGATTGCTGCTTAGTGTACCAAGCATTAATCATCTGTTATGTCTATTATAAATGCAAAAGCAATTAAGTAGATCTGTGGTGAGAACAGGTTATTGCTATCTTCATAAAGAAGCATTTTTCATTGGTGTCATTAAAAATTAAGATTGTGGGTACATTTATTTATTTTTTTAGTCAAGAAAAAAAAGTATTACATGGCACCAGATGCTCTTGAGGTATTTTAAATTTAAAGGTGAAACAACTAAATTTTGATAAATTGTGTATCACTAAACATAGGTGAGCAATTGCATTGTCCAAGAATTTAAGTTTTATTTACAATATATACTCAGAATAATCCCAACAGGATTGAGAAAATCATTCCAAATATAATCACAGTAGAAAATAAATCTACCCACACCCGATAAATAGCAATAATTTATTTATTTGTTATATAATTTATAAAAATTAATATCCTAAGATATACTCAGGTTTTGTTCAGAAAGCATGAATAAGTATCAGTCTTGCATGCAATTACTTTTTGGGTCTAACTTTTGAATGTACAACCTGCTGTCCTTGCCCTATGAATTCACTGAAGGCAATGAAAATGTTGAGTGAAAAATAATAAAAGATTGACTGTCAGGCAGGCAAAAAGCTATTACACAAGAAAACAAAGAAAGTGAAACAGAAGTTTGGTAAGCTAACATGCTTGCATGCATACTTTAACAGGCTGCTGCTTCTCAAAGTTTTTCTTTGCTGAACTTGGATAACTGATAATAGTCTTTTCCTGCTCAATAAAATATGGTTTAAATGCCATGTAAGGTTTCTGACACCTTAAAACATGCTCAAAGAACTTTTGCTTCTATGAGCATATACATTTTCTTGTGTATCTAAAAGAATCAACAGCCAAATCTATTGTACAGAATACTCAGAGCTAAAAACAGATTAGGTTAAACTGTAACTTTTTTAAAACTGTATAGCTTGAGCATGCTTTGATTTCTGAGTTTTAGTTACCTAGGAGTAAAAACAACAACTCATAAATGAGGTTTAGGGACTGTCTCATTTAACAGCTTGGAAACTTCACACAAACTTAGATGCTGAAATCTGTCAATTAATCCAAGATTTTATTGTGTGCTTAAAGTTTTGTACTCAATGTGTAATTGTGTTTTGAGCACACCATCACCCACTGAGTTCCAACTGGGAACAGTGTCATTTCAGTGCTACCTCTGCAATGACTGAAAAGCATGTCAGCTCTTACTTTGTCTAGCTACATTTGCTACTCAGGATCTTTTCTGTTTGTTTTGTTGTTGTTATATTTTTTTGTTAAATATGGGAATTTGTAAGACACATAGCTATTTAATATAATTTCCTCTTCCAAAAATCTTACCTTTTCATACACCTGTGTATAGTTAGGCATGTTACAATCCAATCTTTTACATGGAAATCTTCTGAAAGTCTACCTAAATGTTTAAAACAAATTTTCAAATTAAGGTGAACAGAAAAAAGGGTTCTACATGGAAATTTAATTAAATGATACCAGCCATGTTGCCTTCAAATAATCAGTAAGAAAAAAAATGAAATCAATTTATGCCATAATTATGTGTAATCACAGTCCAACCCCATTAACTGTGCTGTAAGGGAAAAGCAACCATTAGGAGTTCAGGAATTGCAGTCTCTTAAAACATAATATGACAGAGCCCGTTGTCTCACTACTTACTGTCTCCAGTAAGCCATTTATTTAGTTGAATATAATAAATATTCCATTAGCTGTATATTCCTTTGTCAAGATTCAATGCCTTCTGCAAAGACAACTGTCTAATCTAATGCAACATAAAGCAGCCACATCAACACAAGAAATATCAAGGCCATTTTCAGGCCAAATTATTGGAAGAATCTCTCACAAAATGCTCATGAAACTCACGGTATTGAATTCCAAATCTTTGTTGCATCATAATTATCATCTCCTAATTACAAAAGTAATAAGTAGTAAAAGTAACAAGAGTAGTAGCACTTTCTTCATTTTGGTTGCAGTTAGAGAACTTTATTAGAGGAAATGTCCCATAAAAGAAATAATGAAATAAATTTCCTTTGAAAAAAATTATTCTGAGCAGTTAGAATTTGCTGTAAGATTTGTCCTAATCTCTCAAAGGGAATAAATATAAAATGTAAAATAAATATAAATTATTATTTTTAAGCATTGTGTTTTAAGCATTACATATTAAGTACTATGTATTGCATATTATGCTATCAAATATCAAATACTAAAATTAAATTTTATTTGGATTGTTTATTTTTATATCACAAAGTAAACAATATTTTAAGATGAACTGTTCTCTGTATTTTAGGTGAAGGAAAGAAGTTGCAAGG